CAAGTCAGTGGTGATTCAGAAACCACTTTTGAAAGTTTGCCAGTCATCAAAAGAGTTCTTTTTATATCTTTTCTACTCTCCAGAGTTTTCCCATATATAGATTACTCCTTTTGAACTCCCAAGCAACCTGTGAGGCAGATAGAGTAAGGTAAGCTTGTCCCCAGTTTACCAAGTTTGGTGCTAAGTCCCGGAGAGGCTAACTGGGTCTCCTAGGGTCACACAGCTAGTTAGTGTCAGCTGGGCAGCAGTGATCCTGGATCCGCCAGCTCCCCCAATAAATGATTTTTCTCACCACAGAGTCAGTTCTCAAATTCCATCTTCTGGACACTAATGGCTGCATGGCACTTTCCATGAATGTCCCCTTCTCTAATTACCTGCCTAGCTCAGTCCAAGTGACTTCCAGAATATAAGACCCAGCTTTTTCAGCTGACCTTCTCTAATATATAGCAATATAATGAGGGTGCTGACGTCCTATCATATACTATTTCTGCTGCAATTGTTTCAGGTGGTATTATATTTGGGCCTATGCTAAGGGTGCACTTTAAAAATCAAATAAGGAGAAATAGAAAGTCTAAAAGTTCCTAACTGGTAGACCCAAGCCTCCCAAGTGGTAAATAAAAATCTTTTCATGTACATCAGGTCCTTGAATAATATCTCATTCAATATCATTTTATTATAATGTTTAGGAGATGCTGTAAGAACTTAACTCTTGTGTATATTGATTAGGCTATAGTAAAATTGATTTCCTTATCTGTCATTTCATTTAAAGTCACATAACTTATTGATGGTGTTAAGGGGAAATTATGTATCCTATTCTGTATACTCTAAGTCTTAAACTATGTTTTTTTTTACGTATTTTTAAAAATTTTTTATTGTTGTTTTTTACAGTTGTCCCCAGTTTTCCCCCATTACTCTCCCCTGCCCTACCCACTCCCCCTCCAATACTCAATCCTCACCCCCATTGTCCATCCCATGAGTCCCCTATTCCTGTTCCTGGACTTGACCTTTCCCCTTCTTTTCCCCATTAACCCCTTCCCCCTCCCCTCTAGTCACTGTCAGTTTGTTCTTTATTTTCATGTCTCTGGTTCTGTTTTGCTTGCTTGTGTGTTTTGTTGATTAGGTTCTACTTAGAGGTGAGATCATATGGTATTTGTCCCTCACTGCCTGACTTATTTCACTTAGCATAATGCTTTCCAGTTCTATCCATGCTGTTGCAAATGGCAGGGGCTCCTTCTTTCTTTCTGCTACATAGAATTCCATTGTGTAAACGTACCACAGTTTTTTTTATCCATTCATTTACTGCTGGGCACTTAGGTTGCTTCCAGCATTTGACTATTATAAATTGTGCTGCTATGAACATTGGGGTGCAAAGGTTCTTTTCGATTGGTGTTTCAGGATTCTTAGGGTATAATCCCACAGTGGAATTGCTGGGTCAAAAGGCAGTTCCATTTTTAGTTTTCTGAGGAAATTCCATACTGCTTTCCACAGTGGCTGCACCAGTCTGCATTTCCACCAAAAGAGCACTAGGGTTCCCTTTCTCCACATCCTCACCAGCACTTGTTGTTTGTTTATTTGTTTATGATGGCCATTCTGTATTTTGTTCTTAAACTGCAGTTTCTGTGTTATATTGGGAACCATGACTATCAGACAAAAGAGATGGATATTGTGTGTCAGCGATGAATCCCTCATGGAAGATTTCATTTAGAAGAAAGTTCACGAGGTTCATCATAGGTGGAGGCCACACTGCTCTTGGGTAGTGCAAAGACCGGAGGGCTTCCCCCATCATTTCAGCATGAGTTTCATAAAACTGCCTCACAGGTCACAGCCCACTGAGTGTCCTTCTAAAGACCCATTTTCTTACTGACGGTGTGGAAAGTTCCCAAATCCTGTTTCTTATTCAAAACATTCCTGTTTAACAATAATTAACATTGCTTTCCAGGTAGCTTTGCCTGCTTGGACACTACCACCAAATGATGTAAGGCTAGCTGTGCTCTCCTTTCTCAAGCACCAACAAGAGCTCTCCACTGCCTCCAGGTTCGAGCCTGAGTGCCTTTGCCTGGCCTGCGAGACTCTCCCTAGCACAGTCCGAGGCTGCCTTTCTAGCCTCATGCCTGACCCCACCCAGTGTTTCATGCTGACTCAAGTATTTCCTTTTCCTCACAAACACCCTAAACTCTCCTGCTACATTATTCACTCATCATTTCTTTCACCTGAGTACTCTGTCCTTTCTCACCCTGATTCCTGCTCTGTGTGAAAAGTCCAACTCAAAAACTGTCTTTGCTCCAATTTTACCTATTTATGTATAGTTGACCCTTGAGCAACACAGGTTTGGGCAGCATGGGTCCATTAATATGGGGATTTCTTTTCAATCAATACTGTAAATGTGTTTTCCTTATAATTTTCTTAGTAACACTATTTTCTCTCACTTACGTCATTGTGAGAATACAGTATATAATACATACAACATACCAAATATATGTTTACTGAGTGTTTGCTACTGGTAAGGTTTCTGGTCAACAGCAGGCAATTAGTAGTTAAGTTTTTGGAGGGTCAAAAGTTCAGGTTGATTTTCAGTGCCCTTAACCCCCATGCTGTTCAAGGATCAGTGGCACATGCCTTTACCCTCCTTTTAAATTGTGTTACATTGAACTTAATGCAACCAATTTGTTCATGCTAGATGCTCAGTACACGCGGTTGGGTAGGCGGATAGATATCACACGTCTGCACCACCATCTCACGAGGCAGGAAGGAGCAGTAGGGTATTGATGTCAGTCGGTGAATCAACAGAACATCAGTGAAAGCATCGGCCTTCGTGCAGTCTGCTCTTCACATGTGGTCCGTTCTCCCCGTTCTGTGACCCAGGGCCTCAGTCGTCTGCCTCAGTCGAATGTGCATAACTACCACACCAGTGCATAGTGAGAATATCTGGGAGTTTCTCTTTTAGGACTCCTGAAATTTTGAAATAATAATAACATGTTTTTTCCTAGATTTTTTTTTTTTGTTAATTCTTACAATATTGTGTGGTTCAGGAAAACAAATCCTGAACAAAAAGTCAAGGTCCCAAACGGAGGCTACAGGCCTGCCTACCTCAATTCCCAGGGCTCATCAGCAAGGTGGTCTTAGTGAACAGCTGCGCTTGTTGCTCTTCCGTGTCCTCCCTAACTGCATGGTTCCTGAGGTGTGACCTCAGATCAGACCTAATGAAACCCAACCGGCAGGGTCACAGGCCGCTGGAGCATGAGTCTGCATTTCTCAAGTCAGTGTAACAGAATCTGAGCCAGCACAGCGGATGGTGGGCCAGAAGGCTATCTGGTAGCCAAGGGCACGGCTGGGGCTGCAGAATAACAGCTCAAGGCTGTAATCGGACGCCATCCCAGGGGCTTTAACCAGTTAATCATCTCAATCACCCATCTTTTATTCATAAACACGAGGAGTGATGTTTTCTTTTCACTGCTCCCTTTGCCCCTTCAGGCTACACCAACAATATGCCGTCCTTACCTTTTCCTTTTGTCACATAAAATGCACCTGGCATAGTTAAAGCGTCTTGTCGCCATGGATGTCAACATGAACACTAGACCAGGACGGCCTGATCACCGTGGCTCCCAGAGCCAACATAGCGCTTGTAGTTTAAGGGCAAAGCCTTAAGTGGTTCTTCAAACCTCATTACGACTGTAAAACCAGAGATGTGAGACAAAGAACCAGGCAATCTGAGGCAGGAGTAGGCCTCATTACCCTCTAGCCCTTATTGTTATTTCAATTACCCATTTTATTTCAGCCTTGAAGAACTTTTAAAATCGTAGTAGAGTCTTTTGTGTCTTAAATGTTAAAAATTCTCAGCAATAGCAAATCCCTCATACTTACTCCTTCAGGAAGCCCACCTACAGTGTGAGGCCACACCACCTCAATGGCTGTCCTGTCTCCACAAGGCCCACGAATGTCACGGTGATTAAAGATGAAGGCTTTGGAGTCAGACTTCTGGGTGTGGCCCTCATTAGCTACACAGCCTTAGTGATTCTCTCTGGGCCTCAGTTTCCTCATCTGTGACCTGTGAATAGTAATAACAGTACCAACTCACATGACTAGTGTGGTAATTAAGTGGATTAATGCATGGGAGATCAGAAAATGTTGGCACTTATCTGCCCTGTCTTAAATTTAGCCATGACCCATTGTTTTAGGAATTGTTTGGGTCCTGGGAAAATATGGCCTAAGTTCATGTATAATATGGGAGAAAGAACACAAACTATATCTTTTTTTTTAATGTTCAAGTCTCTAGATCAGTGATTCTCAAAGTGTGATCTGGGGACCCCTGCAGATCCCCAAGACCCAAGTCCTTAAGTTCAAAACTGTTATTTTCTTTTACTGAGAAGTAATTGATATAGATCACCATATGAGTTCATACAGCACAATGGCTTGATCAATACTGTGAAATGATTACCACAGTAGGTATAGCTGACATCCATTTTCTCATGTAGATGTAATGAAATGAAAGAAAAGAAGGAAATAACAAGGGAAAAAAATTTTGTCCTTGTGATGAGAGAACTCTTAGGATTTACTCTCCTAACAGCCCTCCTGGGTGCCCCCAGCAGTGCCATCTCCGGCAACAGCGTGTTCGTGACACCAGAATGTTCCTCCTTTCCCACTCTCATGATGTGCAGTGGAATTTTCCAGAGGCTACACACCACATGGTGATGTCATCACCTAACAGTTAGTGTGCTTGTACCTTCTTGCATTTTTTAATATTCTCAGTCATCATTTCTAACAGGGTACACAGCAACATCTACAACCCACATAAACAAATCTCTTTGAGGCGCTCAATCATGTTTAAGAGTTTAAAGGGATCCTGCAACCAGAAATGCCGGGGGCCTCTGCTCGACCATTCCCAGTGGAAGTCACCCTCCCTACCCATCTCAAAATCTCCAATGCAAAAATACCAACTTGTGCTTAACTTTGAGACTCTGCCCCCAAAGACAGGCCCCTGAAGTTGCCATTCTGTGTTTCAGGCTGCCTGGGTCTGACTGCTCTGGCGACGAGTGGCTGTGGGACACTGAGAAGCATGGCCATCGCCACTCCATGATCCGAAGAGTCAAGAGGTTCCTGAGTGCCCACGAGCACCCCTCCAGCCCCAGGAGCAGAAGCTATGGGAGGCAGGCCAGTGACAGCTCCGTGTTCTTCCCTCAGAGAGACCTCAGCCCAGCCAGGGATCTGCTGGATGTGCCCTCGAGGAGCGCCCACCACACCTCCCGGAAGCAGTTCTCCCCAGAGGGGGACCCCAAGCTGTACTCCAGCCTGGGGGAACTGTCCACGATCAGGGAGACTAGCCGGACGAGCACCTTACAGAGCCTGACCCCACAGTCCAGTGTGAAGGCCTCCCCCACCAAAATGCCGCAGGTCCCCGCGGTGCTGATCACAGCACCAGGGCCCACGTCAGACGACCCACACTGGGACTCCACAGCCTCCATCCAGAGCTTTGAGTTCACTGGGGTTCAGCCAAGCAGCACTGGGCAGCGGGAGGACCCTGTGGGACTGATCCTGTTTCCCTCAGGGGAGGGGACACCTCTTCCAGGCCCCAGGCCCCAGACTATTTCAGCTGAAGCTGAGAAGAACATTTTCAGGTTTGCCGCTGAGGAAGACCCTTTTGAGAATGACAAATTCCCAAAAAGGTGGAGCCTCCCCGGGTTCCTGGAGTCCAGCCACACTACCCTGGCAGGCCTGAGCCCAGAGCCCACAAACCCTGAGCCACCTCTTTTACTTGACACAGAAACATCCTCAGAGACCAGCGGCATCACCTTCGTGGCTGGCTCTCAGATCTCTACTGACGTGCTGTATTTAATGGAAAACCTGGACACCAAGGAAACGGATATCCTAGAATTTAACCATGAGCAAAGAGAGGAATCTCCCAGAGGAATGCCAGAAAGTTCTAAGGCCTGGTCCTAGTATAAATTTCTACTTTCCCAAAAGTTCAACCTTAGTTCCAGAACACACCTGTGGGCTGGTTAATATTTTAAAAAATAATCATACCACATAAGCTATTTAAAGTTTGAAGGGCATTATAATCCTGACTTTTTCAGAACTAATAAAATCAAGCTCATTCACATCATTTGCCACAAAGCGGTTTTCATGGGCGCTACACCGGCCGCAGCAATCTCTCTTAACCAAATAAGGAAATCTTAAAAAAAGTATGATTTATAAATTGATAGACTGTTAGCTTTGGAAAGCACTTTGTAGGTCATAACCCAATCCCCTAGTTTTGCAAATAGGGACACAAAGGATTCCCTGTATGTTTCCTTTTTTTTCTTCTTGCCTTCAATTATAAAGACAGGGAGATGGATCATAAAATGCCTCAAAAGCCTCGTTCTAGTTATAATATTTTTGTTTGAGGCTTTCTAACCATTTCACTCCCACTCGCTCCACTATTATTATCACTTCCATACTCCTAAGCTTCATCAGCATCATATAGCTTCATCTCTCTCCAATTTCCCTTTCTACTTTCATGACTTCATTTTTCTCTCTTCCCCTTCAGTCTCCCATCCTTTTCTCCTCCCCTCCTTCCTAGTCTTGCTCCTTCTCTAATGACTAATCTGTCCCACCTTGCAAATTATAACAGCTTCTCTTGCCAACTCTGTTGCTTTCTTCTTGGCATGATTTTCAAAATATGAGGCATCGGCAAAGCCTCCAACAGAAAAACCGAAGAAGTCAGCAAATCCAGTTCAACACGCTTCCAGCTCCACACTGGGCGGGGGAGAGTGGGCGTCAACACTCTCCCACCACACCCTCGGCAGCCACGGCCATTTCCTTCTGCGTCCACTCTAAGTCTGGAACACTGGAGAAAACTGAGGCCAAGATGGGCATGAAACTTGTGCAACCAAATGCTATGGAACCAAAGAATGACAAAGCTTGAATGTATTTTACTCAAACTCTTAAAGCAAAATCCCAACCATGTCACAATGTGGGACCAGTGACTGTATCTGCCAGGTTGTTTGAGACGAGATAGGATGTTGGAACTGGGGGTTTTGGGGGCCCAGGATTGCACCATGGGGATGGGCATGGACTCACTCCAAGGAGCTCTGGGGTGGCTGTTTGTTGGGGGGCCCCAGTTTTGTCTGGAAGGCCATGTCTTATGAGTACTGCTCTCCTAGTTCTGTCATATGATGAAGCTTGACTACATATGGTTTCAAAAATAAAATAACTCTAAAAGCTACCACTTATTGAGTGCTCACAGTGCTCCAGGAAGCAGCAGGTAATATTCACAGGTGACCTCACTAATCCTCACAGGAATCTTACGAATTAATATACTATTATCTCCGTTTTCAAGGTGAAGAAAACAGAGGGTTTGGAGAGGTGAAGTAATTTGACTAAAAACAGCCAGGAAGTGGCAGGGCTCAGTCTCAGACCCAGATTTCTCTGACGCAGGAAGTGCACTCCCTCACTGTGCTGTCTGCAAGGCCCTGAGTCTGCCAGCAGTTTGCCCGGAATTCTGAAGGATGCCCTAGGAAGACCAGGCCTGAAGCTCTCCAGCCTCAGAGGCCTCCCTGCTGAAGTCTGCCTGCATCTTTTGTGCATGCATTCAGGAGGGCATTGCTCCACCTGTGAGCCCTGGTCATAGTCCTCTATGTTTTTCTGAAAGAAGAAGTTGGCAGGGCCCTCCCTTCCCCCCCTCAACTCCCCCTGATATACAGTGTTATAATTTGCCCATTTTCACGGAGCATCACAGCAGCTAAACGGACCACCCCAGCTGCCTGACAGCCATGATGTTTACTTTAACTGGCCTTTCTTCAAGGACTGCAAGGAAATAATATTGGAAGAAATGCCGTACATTGATGGTTTTCTCTGTTGGTAGACAGTGTTACTACCTGGCGAGGCAGTGATATCCCCAAAGCATCCCATATACACTAGGGGACCAGGCCTCAGGATAACACTTCTACAAGGCAGGAACCTAACCTCCTCCCAGCCTTGCTCTTTCAGATGTTTCAGCGGAAGTCCCTCTACTCTCCTCTCTTTGGCTTTATCTATTGTTCAAATGCAAATGTTTCTACTTAGCTGCTTGTGAAATATGATCAATTTTTGGTGCCTAAATCCAAGGTGATCAGTTATGCACCTTGATAAACAGAATCATACATTTCGTAGGGCCCAAGGGAGTGTGGCTTATTGCTGCTTTCATCCATCCCTCATACGCCTTTGTCCAGAGAATTATTTAATTTTCTTGATATTTCATCAAAATCTGCGGTGGCCTCTTATTTCCTCCTTGCACTGAAAACTGAACAATGATCCATTCAATGAGCTATCACCTGGGTTTCTGATTTTTCCAGTAGAACAAGTGGAGAGTGACATGTAATCACTGTTTAATTGGCATTTACTTGACAAACATTACTGATTACTGTAGTAAATTTATCTGATTTACTAATGACATGTGGTGTCCCTTCATATACTTCTTAATTCTGTTGGGACCCTGCTTTTGAAAATTGCCTTTTCAAGTTCTTTGCCCTTTTATCTATATTTCTCCTGTTGCTTTTCAGGAGTTCCTTCTAGGTTTTAGAATGATAATAGACCCTTGTTGGTTTTGGACATCACAACAGTCTTTTCCAATCCTTTGTGTGTCTGATAAAAGTATCACTGGCATTCTTTGTTGAATAGAAATCCATAATTTTTATATAATCAAGTTCATCAATATTTTTGTTTTATTCTTTTGAAGTTTTGAAAAAAATCCTTCCCACCCCTATGTCCTGATTATTCTCCTACCATTTTTTCTATTATCTTTTCAACACTCGGTAGGGATACAGTTTTATTTTTCTCTATAAAGTGAGGGAGTTTCTCTCAATCCTTCCTATTAAAAGGCCAGTTATAAGTTCCATGAATTTCTTGCAAATCAGAGACTGGTATAAAATAAAATAGAATCTGAGAGAACTAAAAAATAGGGTGGTATGAAAGGAAAAGAGAAATCTGAGTCCTAATCTCATAAAACTCTAGCTCCTCCCCACAGAATACAAAATTTCTCCAAATGTATCATCCACTCTTATCTTCCAACTGGTGATTTTCCCCCTTCCAGTGTCTGGAGTGTGTAAACTCGTGACACTGCTCTATGCAAAAACCCACTAAAAATAAGCCTGTCTGTGATCAGGCTGAGCCTAAACTGCAAGAGTAAAGCCTGATACATAAGGAGCTCTTGCTAAAGAAGAGCCAGTGATGGTGGTACAGGGATAGTTCAGGGCCCTTCAACACTCAAAAGAAGGCTGGACGGACTCCAGACAGGTGCAGTCCGCCACCAGACTATACTCAGGGCCTGGATCAGCAGAAGTGGAAGAGGTATACCAGGAGGCCAGCACCGCTCGTTCCTGCTACCTGAGAGCTGTCCTGGGCACCCCGCAGCCTCGGTCTTCACTCTCCCATAACAGGCTGTGCCTAGTGGTGGGTGGATGTTGGGTGTTTGCTGCCACATTTGAGACATTTGCAGATGGTTTCAGAAGAGAACTGATCTCATCTTCTCTTTATTCCTCAAGAAACGAAGCTTTCTGAAATTGGAAGCATCCTTGATATTAATAATAGACTCATTATTTATCCCTGTGGTCACTGGACCCTACAAATTCTAAAGGGAAACACAACTTTCAAGATTAGAAAACACTTTCAGCCCTGGCTGGCGTAGCTAAGTGGATTGAGCATGGACTGCGAACCAAAGTGTCGCAGGTTCGGTTCCCAGTCAGGGCACATGCCTGGGTTGCAGGCCGCGGCCCCCAACAACCACACATTGATGTTTCTCTCTCTCTCTTTCTCCCTCCCTTCCCTCTCTAAAAAATAAATAAATAAAATCTTAAAAAAGAAAAAAAAAAGAAAACACTTTCAAACAAAAGACCAGATAGATTTTTTTCCCAGTAAAAATGGATTTTGGCTACTTTCATTACTAAACAATGTGAGAACACAGGCATCTCTCTTGAAGTTTGCTCCTCCTGGCTGGGATTCAGAGGTTCTGTGCCCGCTGCTGCCCCCACTCCCCCAGCCCAGGGAGGAAGGTCCAGGGCTGGCTAGGGGAGAGCAGGAGCGATAGTGGGGACAGTACCTGCGGGGCATATACTCTCCTTGCCCAGGGGCAGCCACGCCCCTTCCCCTGGGGTGTAAGCTCTGCTCACTGTCTCGTTCAACCGGCAGATCCCTGGTGCTGCGGACAGTGCCTGACACATCTCAAAAAAAAAAAAATTAGATGAATGAATGCTTGAAAGAAAAAATGAATAAATGGATTACCCACACTAGATCTAGATCCAAAGTTAGGAAACCTAAAATCTCAATCAAATATGACAACAACCTTAGCCTCGTGGTCTCAACCAAGTTATCTGAATACTCTGGACTTCATCTTGCTCAACTCCAAAATGGGTGGTTAGATTAAGTGATTAAGGTTCCTCTCAATGCTGTTCCAGTGAATTTCTCAAGATCCTGTATATGGGAGAAGGAAGAGACGGTTATGATGGACATTGAGAAAATGGACCCAAATGGCAGAAAGAGATAAAAAGAGGAAAGAGGTAAGGAAGGGCAGAATCAATGCCTACTGGGTACTTGGGTGTGCTGAGTGTTTTCACACATCTCTTCAATCTTCACAAACTACTATTGCTCATTGCATGGGAAGAAATGGGGAAGTTAAATAACTTGCTGAAAGTTTTACAAAAGTTAAAATTTCAATCTGGGATTTGAACCCAGGTCTCTTAGGTGCATTGCTGATTCTATGATTCCACACTACAGCCAAAAACAATTAACTAGAACAACGCATTAGCAGTTAACTATACAGCCACCCAACCAGCCCCACTGACAACCTTGGACAGTAGTGGGAAACCTTGGAAAGCCAACGTGTATTGAACACCTTTTATGTTCAAGTGCTGCACACACGTGTTCACACAAGTCTCATAACAAACTAGGCGGTGTCACTATGTCCACTTTACAGATAAGGAAACTGAGGTTCAGGGAGGCGAAATAGTGTCGTCATGTCACAGAGCCAATAACCAGCAGAACTGGGATTCAAAACCAGGCCTGCACATGAACCATGAGGCAAACACACCATTTTCCCGAAGGACAGCCAACCCTAGAGCCTCTGTCTCTACAAACGGCTTCCATGCGGCTGCACCTCATCTCATGATCCCTTCCTTCACCGGGAACAACTGAAACTCTTGGATATGATACAGGGTTGTACTCAGTCATCAGTCAAAGCTGGTTTGGGTGCCTGAAACAAATCTGTGGGTCCAGGGCAAGACCCTGAATTCTTCCTTCTCTGTGCACATGTGAGGCGTATCGTGTCCTCCGACCACCGGGGTCACATTAACTACGTGTCACCTGCATGAATTCAACTATGACCTGGACGAGGGACAGATAAGCACTTACGTACATGTGTAAAGAAAGAGCCTCCTCATTTCCACCCTTCTCCCCAAGGAACACATGCCTCACAGTGAGTGGGAGGCAGCAGATGTGAAGCCCACCAGAACAGCCTCAGATCTGATGTGCTGAGAGAGAGTCTGGTGTTTAAAGTTACAACACTAGAATTTCTCAAACAGATCAGCTCCTAAAGGCAAGCTCACCATTTCAGCTGCAGCTCTACTAAAAAATCTTCACTGATTTTTAGCATCCAGGCTTGTAGACTTCCTGAGAAACATGCTTTATTAGAGCCCAACATAGTACCTTTCTAAGAGACTTCCAGTGGTGATTTTCACCCTACTGATTTTCCCATTATGTGTTGAATGTAGGGACTAGCCCCTAAACAAGGTCACTGACATGTTCATTACCAAGAGTTGATACTGGGCCACTCCAGAAGTACCAGCTTCCATGAAGAGAAAGTATAACAGTAGAAGTATTTAAAGCAATTTTACTGAGTCTGTTTTTTTGTCTTTTTCATACTGAGAAGAATGATATTTACCAGTAAATTCCTTTACTTAGTGGCCTGAGACAAAATTAGATACAAAACTTTGGTCTATGGTGGAAAACTGGTGGTTGGTAGTTTGAATCTGATTTTCTGAATGCTCTCTCCTTGCCAGGATTCTCCAGTTTACCACAGTCTCCACCACTCCCTACTGCCCTCCGTTAGGCCTGCTTCACTTGGTTGTGGCCTACTTGATCCTGGTGGGTACCTTGAGTTTTCAGTTCTTTTACTAATGCATCACCCAAATGCATGGAGACCTCAGCCAACTGTTTGCTCCCTAAACTATGCAAAGAGGGAAAGAAT